CATTTCATCTCAATCACAAGTATTTATCCCTATATCACAGTCATTACCACTATTAGTCACTTCCCAAAACATAGTCATTCCTCCTCAACCATCTTCTTCACTTGTTTTATCCCCTACAGCCTCAAAGTCTTCCAATTCCATAACCACTAGAGCCACAGAGTTATTGCAAAACCTTCCCTCTAATGCTCAGAATTTTTGGATTCCTCTCACCATAATTAATCTTGTGAGCCAGCATCTTAGAGTTCTACACAGTCTCAAATCCCTGTTGATCCAAATTTTCAAACAGAAAATCTATCTGTTGTTCTTCCCATTCCCTCAGTTAGTTTGCATCCCATGCAAACTCGGTCCAAAGGTGGAATCTCTAAAAGGAAAGTGTTCACAGCAACTGTTCAATCATTTGCAAATGTCATTAAACCTACTTCATACAAATCTGCTAGTAAAATTCCTGAGTGGCAAGCAGCAATACAAGAAGAGATAGATGCTTTTCATGCTTAGAAAACTTGGAGTCTAGTTCCTCTACCCTCTGGGAAGAATTTGGTTGGATGTAAGTGGGTGTATAGGATTAAAATTCACTCTGATGGTTCTATAGCTCGATACAAAGCTCGATTGGTTGTAAAAGGATATGATCAAGAGGAAGGTATTGATTATAGTGAGACTTTTAGCTCTGTAGTTAAATCCACCACTGTGAGGTTGATTCTGCTTTGGCATCACAATTCAATTGGTCCTTGAGACAATTAGATGTCAAGAATGTATTTCTGCATGGTGAGTTAAATGAAAAAGTATATATGACCCAACCTCTAGGATTTCAGAGTGACATTCATCCTTCTCAGTATATGTGTAAGCTAAATAAGTCATTATATGGGTTGAAGCAAGCTCTACAAGCTATTTGCTTGGTTTGGTGATAAGCTTATATTTATATATATTTTATATCAAATTCACTTGCCTTTTTCTTAGTTAGTTCCTTATATTTTTGAGTTATTTACTTTGTTTTTGTATTTTCTAGGATTTGTCAAGCAAAGAAAAGAAAAATAACACAAGTGAAATTTTAAGTAACAAATTCGTCAAAACTGTCTGTGCAGGTCAGCTGACTTTGGAAGCAAGTTGCGGACAGCTCAGAATGAATTAGAGAATGAGCCTTATATGCTTGGAAAGCTACGGATGTCTATTTTCTGGAGCATTTCGCGATTGTTAATATCAGTTTTCTAGAAGAAGTTATGGCCATTTTAACACTGAAAGGTTCCCAAGAGGCTGAGCAGTTTGTAACTGACAAGAAAGCATTGAAAGCAATAAATCCAATAAATCTAGCAGCCAAAATTGATGCAATCAAGAACAAACCAGCTGACACCTATTCAAATATCAGAGGAAATGGAATTAAAGATGAGGATTAAGAGGGAGTTATTGGCATAAAGGCTACCCAATGAGTTACAATTGTTTCACCATTTCCTCTCACTTATTGTCATCAATAAATGGCTATTAGTGGGTGAGTTAAGGAGAAGAAAATGATGCAGCAAGAATTGGTTTAGAAGTAGCATTGGGGAAGGAAGGAAAGGGGAGAGCCTTAGTCAATTTCTTTCGGTTCTATTTTCTCAAACTCATGTCTATCTTTTGTTTTAACTTAAGGATTGTGTAACTAAATTTTTAGTAGTTAGGGGCTGTTTGAAGCCCCGAATATGATTGCAAGTTTGTTATGACATTTCGTTTGAATTACTTTTACGAATGGATGAAAATTGGTTCACTACTTGTCTCATTGATGAATTCTTTTTGTGTTATCTACGGATGCATACTTAGTAAGCATATCTAGAATTCTAATGCTATGAATATGTGTGTGCCTGCCCTTGTCGAATGAGGACCTATATATGTTCTAGAGTAGTACTTGTTAATTGCGATTAACATGTGAATCAATTTCTAGGATAAGTAAGACAACGCTAGTACTTACGATGCCTTGTGATGACTCAAACTCTTTTCGTTCTTAATGATTTCTACTTGTTAAATCTATGAACACACCATTCTAGATTGCATGTTAGGGACTAAGTTAAGTTGAAAACGCCATTCTCTTAACATACTACATAAGAAAGAGTAATAGGTTGGGTTCTAACATTGAGCCAACTTGAGCATCTTCATCCGGAAATGAAAGGAATTTGAATGAAACATAACATGTTTGCATGATTATTTGGTGGTGGATAGCAATTCCCCTAACTCGTTTTTCTTAATTTGTGAACTACTTAAAAATCTGTCTCTGTCTTGTTTTTGTTCGATTTAATTTAAATATCAAATCAACTCCAAAAATCCCAAAAATTTGTGTGAGTGTAGCTCTGTGTGTCTAGTATCTGCATATAAAATTTCGTAGACTTTAGATAAGTGTAAGTCGGTCTAATAATTATTTTTCGGTGGCTGGTCAGTAGGGACAACAGCCCAGTTTTTATGACATTCTAAGTAGTTAGATAAAACAATCTTCTGCGGGAAAGACCCTTATTTTCATATGCTACAATTGATAAATATTATTGTTAATAAGGAAAATTAATAGGACATTTGTGTGCTACTTTGTGGTGTGCTTTTAATCCTATTATTTGGGTTTTAAGTCCTCTTTTGCAGATCCTTCACTATTTGTTAAACATAATGTTGTTGGTACAGTTGTATTGTTACTCTATGTGGACGATATTATTCTAACAGGCAATTCCTCTACAATGATTGATGATGTTATTATGGAACTAACCAAAGAGTTTGAAATGAAGGATTTGGGCCGGCTGAATTACTTTATAGGGTTGCAGATTGCTTATCAATCTGGTGGCTTGTTTGTCTCTCAGTCACAATACATCAAGGATCTGTTAAACAAAGTTGATTTGCAAGATTCCAAGCCTTATCCTACCCTTTGTTTACCATATCACAGACTTATCAAAGATGAGGGCACTCTATATCACAGTCCAAAGCAATATAGGAGCATTGTTGGGGCCTTGCAGTATGTGACTTTTACAAGGCCAAACATAGCCTTTTCAGTAAATCAATGTTGCCAATTTATGCATAATCCCATGAATTCTCATGTTGTTGCAATTAAGAGAATTCTTAGATACCTCATTGGAACAATAGACTATGGTTTGTGCTTCAAACCTGGAAAATCACATCTGCAAGCATACAGTGATGCAGATTGAGCAGGTGATCCTAATGATCGCAAATCAACTTCTGGTCATATTGTATATTTTGGTTCAAGTCCCATATCTTGGGCTTCCAAGAATCAACACACCGTGTCCAGATCTTCAACTGAGGTAAAATATAGAGCATTAGCTATTGCAGCTGCAGAATTGGCTTGGATTAGACAATTATTGTGTGATCTTCATTTTTTTGTGTTCACTGCACCAGTGATTTACTGTGATAATATTTCAGCAATTGCTTTATCTTCTAATCCAGTATTTCATTCTCGGGTGAAGCACATTGAAATAGATTACCATTTTGTCAGAGAAAGGGTGATTCGAGGAGATTTGAATGTTTGTCATGTGTCCTCCAAAGAACAATTTGCAGATATTCTCACCAAGGGTCTTGCTGCACCTTTATTTCAGTCTCATTGTTCCAATCTATTGCTTAGTTCATGCAAGCATGAGATTGCAGGGGGATGTAAAGATGTATTAGATGCTTCAAATATTGACAAGTGTATGTAGATTAGGGTGCTAAGCAGTTAAGTTTGTTATTAGTAGTTAGCTTGCTTAGTGACTAAGATAGCCTTGTCTATATATATGTGCAGCTGTTGTAACTCAGATGATTGATTCAATACATACAAGATATAATTTCCTTCTCTTTCTAAAACTGCTATTCTCTCGAATCTCGCTCTATCAAGAACACAGATGATGAAGAATCTCTTTGTATTCTGATAGATCCAGTCGTGGCTGGTTTCAAAGTCGAGGAATTCTTCCTACACTCGCTGCTACTTTTCCTTGCTCTTCCTATCTTCCCAACCATGTTGCAGTTGCTTCTTTATCTTCTAGATATAGTAACATTGGTTCTTCCTCTAATGGTTGTAACTATTGTGGTGATCGTCGTCATTCTAGTGAAAACTGTTTCAAGTTTCCTTTCTCCAAAGGTCGATATCTGTTTCCACAATCTCATGATATGATGGCTGCCTCTTCTGTGGGCAATGAACAATCCTCTAAATGGTATACCAACAATGGCGCATCATCACATATCACCAATGATTTAGCTAATTTGAGCCTCTCCATAGATATACTGGTCAAGATCAAGTCGTTGTTGGTAATGGTGCAGGTTTGTCTATTAAGCATATTGGTTCCTATTCCGTGTCTAAATTTCCTTTAAATTATGTGTTGCATTGGCCTTCTACTTCCGCTAATTTGTGCTGATAACCATTGCTACTTCATTTTCACTCATATTGATTTTTTTTGTGAACGCTCTATCCACTGGGAAGACGTTTTTCCACGGCAAGAGTGAGAATGGATTGTATCTGTTTAGTGTAGGTTCGTCGAAGTTTCCCTCCAAGACCGTGGCTTTCTTTGGACAATGAACGTCTTCATTTGTGTGGCATTAATGTTTCGATCATCCATCTTATGCAATTTTTAATAACATTATGTCTTCTGTTCCTATTAAGGATTCTAGGTTACCTAGTTTTTGCTCTACTTGCCCATTGAGCAAAAGCACTAAATTACCTTTTGCTTTGTCTCCATCTGTTTCCGTTTGTCCTCTTCAATTGGTCCATTGTGAGGTTTGGACTTCATCAATTGCCTCTCCAAGCATGTGTTTGTACTGCTGTGGCATGACCTCATTAATGGCCTGTGGACTGGAAAGTGTAGAGTCCAATGTTAAACTTAAGCATATCATTCTGTGTTTCGTTTATACAGGTATTATTATGCTTTGGAGTTGTGACGGAGAGAAAGGGATAAAAGTGAATTTCTTTGTTGAAAGAGTGAGTACATTCTGTTAGTTAAATTGCAACAGCAGGGCAGTCAGTTGGATTATTTTCATGTGAAAAGTGGAATGAGAAAACTGAACACAGATTGAGAAAGGGATAATACTATTTATCATATCATATTTCCACCGGAAATTAAAGAAACAAACATTTTAACAGTTAAGGCCCTCCCCACCCCACCCCACCCCCTCCCTCCTCAAGGCCTCAACCTAAGCAATTGAAGCAAAAGTACACGCTAGTAGTAGTACTAAACTGAAAGAAAATTGAATTCAAGAGTGAGAGAAGCTGGTGGCAATGGGGATAACGATGACGAGAATGAGCAGCAGAAGAATTATCAACCCGATACACATCCACTTCCTGCTGCTCCTCTGGTAGCCCTTGGCGGTGTTGAGATGTTTTGTTCCATCCTTGACATAGTGGGAAGCATTCATCACATGGTGTTCTATATCATCCATCTGCTCCCCCTGAGCCTCCACCATTACTGCCATGTCTAAGAAAAGCTGATGCAACTCCAACAGGCTCCTCTCAATGTCCTTGGCCGTGTCGTGCCTGTCCTGTATCTCCACCACCGTTTCCAACACCTTCCCCCTCCCATGCTCCTGTATTGCCTTCCCCAGAAACTCCTCTGCCCCGTTCCCACCCCCATTCGAGATTATCTTTTCAATCACCTCCTCATCCGCCTGCTCTCCCGTGACCGTGAAGTAGCGTCTCCCAACGGTCTCCTTGTACTCGCTCATCATCCTCTGCCTCAGACTCTGGAAATCCATCATAAGCTCCTTGAGCTTCTTGCGCAAGCCACTCGTCACCGCCATCCTCGTTCTGTAAATCGGAGTGCCTTCTTTGTAGGCGGAGAGCCTCCTGTTGGCGGCGTTGGCACGATCCATGTCCTCTAGCTGAGATCTGATGGTCCTTGTTTTCTTCAGCACTGCCGTAATATCCGCATTGATTCTGCTGCGCAAGGATTGCAAAGCCTCGGACTTGTGGAGGGACTTGCTCTCCTCGTTGGCTTGCTGCAGACGCACGAGAATGTCGCGAACAGATGCCATCTCCTGCTTCACCTTCTCGGCCTCTTCCAGGAACAGACCAAGGTCGGTGTGCATATTTGTGGTGGAGGATGACATCTCCACATTGTTATGATGCCCGGCTTCCAAGTCCAAATCTTTCATAGCCTCTTTCTTTAGATCCACGTAGTTGGTGAACGACTTTGTCATCAGGTCGTTCATCTTTCTTTCTTTCCTTTTATTTCTTCTTCTTCTTTGTTCGTTCCAAAATTCCAAGGAAAGATCAGATCACCTGCATTAGTAATTCATTGTACAATTAAACAAAACTGGATTAGATCCAGATTGATCTACTAAATAGTAAATTCAACTATCTACCTCTAGACCTAGGAAATCGAAATGAATTAGTTTGAAGAGGGATTTAATTTATGCGTACCTTTTTTTTCCAATTACGGAGTTGGATAAGCAAATCAACAGCTAGCCAGTACTACTTCAGTTGCTTGTTTATATGAAGGAGAATTAGGCAAAAAAATGAGCGAGAACTAATAGATGTATATCAGAATCAGATGCCTAAATTTCAAATGGAAATCCAACAAACAAGGAAGCTGATCATCTGCTTTTATCACAATGAGATTCCCAAAACGGCTGCGTTCAAGTTTTTAAACAACTTCTGTATTACCAAACTAGCCGTTGACAGGTCACAAACAAATAAAAGAAAAAGGAACTAGCCGTTGGAGTCCCAACGGCTATAATTCAAATATTCGTCAACTCCGTACTTTTTTGTGATGTGAAAGAATTTGGGCTAAAATTGTATGCCTATGGAAGTTGGGCTCAGCCAACAGATCGATGTGAGCTTAGCCATTCTTCTACTCATGTACCCAATAAAATAAAGGGGAAACTTGATATAAGTCTAATTTTTTGAGCCAATAGTAGGAATAGTCCAGTTTATTAAAATAAGTCCAATTTGTTATATTTAATTATTTAATTATCAATAGTTATCTGTTCAATGATAAGATTTATTATAAAAATCAAATTTCTTCCCAATTATCTCTTTGCTTATTTCTTTTTATTTATCTTTTTGTTATTTATCGTTCTTCCTCCTACTTTAAACCCCATTTATAGATTTTATTTTTAATTTTTATAATCGACCTATATTACAGGTTAATTATATTTATCTACCTATATGACAGATTCTTTTTTTATAATCAACCTGTCACAGATTAATGTGTCTTACTTGTAGGTATGTTATGTTTTTTCTACCCTTTAATTAGGTTTCATATCTCACATGTAGGTATATTATATACATTCATATATTTGTTACTTGAGTTAGGGTAGAATGTTTTGCAAATAAATTTATTTTAGTTTTGTTAGAAGATATTAAATATATTATTTTGGAGTTGGAAAATGCATAATATTAGAAGCTTTTAATTGATTTTTAATATTTTTAGAAAATATAAAATGAGTATAAAATAAAAACATATAATTAGATAACTGGATTCACTCCTAAAAACACTCTACGTTTTTGGACCTGGGTCTAAAAGCCCCTAAAATAAAAAGACCAAAAGGGAGGTTCTTGATGGTTGATACATAATAATATGAGAGTTTTAACAAAAAGCTCATGGTACTATTCACTTTAACGAAAAACCACATTTTTACATTAAAAAGTCAATCCTGGTACTATTCACTTTACCTTTTATTTTGTCCTTATCATTAAAAATCAAAGTTTTCAAGTTCTTTTCATTAGTTTTCCTTAATATTAATACATACAAATACGGATTTATCCACACATGATGATATCCACCTACCATTTGTTTCACATTGGTGGGGCGTGATTGCTCTATAAATCGATTCGGAAACAAGTCTTTTACTTTTAATAATTCTAAAATAAAATTTCTTTTCAATTTCAAAAGAGAAATTTTATTTGAACTCATTTAACCTCTTTCTACACTCAACTTACTTTTTTCACCCATATTGTTTTTTTATTAAAGAATTCATATCTCTTTAAATCCAAATTTATTACCTAAACAACCCTCTCAAACCCAATTTAAAATGTAAAATTATCTTTACACACATTCCCTTTATAAAATAACATCTCTACTTGAATATTGTTTTTTTCAAAGAGGCATCTTTTGCCCCTCTATAATTGCATATGCCACATAGGACTAGCATTTAAGCATCTCCATGGCTGCTTTTTTTATTTTTGCTACCAAAACCCATCCATGGACTTGGGATCCAAGAGATCATTCCGTAGACTTGAATTTGCCAAGAGAATGTTATGCAAGCTCCAGTTCAGTCCTTTTAAAAACGAGTATTTTCATGTACTTTTTAAGAAACTTTGAAGTGACATAGGGCTGGGTGTTTTGCTGCTATGTTAATAAACAAATACACAAATTGGAGTTATTTCGAATAAAAAAAGCTGCAAGACATGCCACCCGCTAGTTCGTGGTTAAGGTTGAGCAATCTTTATTTGCACCAAGAATCAAGTTTTATGTCTTTGCAGTACTAATCAAAAGTCTTTGCACTGGTGTTTTGGGGCGCATATAGATGGAAGAGAAAAACAAATACAATATAATATAATATAAAAAGTATGAAATTTAATCCAAAGAAGAAGCAAACAAAAAAATATCCATAAATCGAGTCATACCTTAGTTGGAGGATTAAAAACTTCAAAATCACCATCCATCAATTAGAAAAACTTGTTTTTCTTTATCAGAGCTATTAGGGTTTTAGTCGGAATGAACGTAGGATAAACAAAGGGTGATGCTAGTGTTCAATTATAGTATGTGGGACTATTGATAAATTTGATTTTTATTATTAATTTCATTTTGTACTTAATAGTAATTATGCAAGAGGGTAAAATAGACAATTAACATTTAAAATTTAAGTTGAGTGTAAGAAGAGGTTAGATGAGTTTAAATAAAATTTCCCATTTCAAAATTCTCGGAGTATTCAAAGTTTTTAAAATTATTCCAATCTCAAAATTTTTACAGCATAATGTGATTTTTACGTTCACAAGTTTATCAAAATTTGTATATGTACATTAAATCTCTTTAATGTAATACTCTATAATATTCGAATAAACTCCATATTGTAATAAGTTGTAATTTTTCTTTATCCCATATCAAAGAACTGTGACAACCCGTCCCTAATTTTACGATTTTATTAATTTTAAATGAGTGAATTGACAAAAATGTCCCCAGAAGCGAGAGCGTTGACTTTTGTTGACCAACGTATAGTGAGACATACAGATCTTTTCGAATTAAATTTCTAAAGTTTATAAAATCCAATGTTAACCGCCACTTGAATTTACTATTGGCAGAGATCCAACCGTTGGATCGTAAATAAGTTTTAGTATGTTGTTCTATAAGCTTAGTGTGGACTTTGGGAAGTTACTGATCAGAAATCCATGGGCGGATGTAGATTGACTTGTGTAGGGTTGTGGACCTCACCTTTGATAGAGACTTGACCTTTGGATAATATGCTACGAATTGATCGTAAATATTAAAATCAGTATTACTAGAGACTATGTAGGGGAATTGGATCTCCTCCTGAGCAAATGGTTAGGATCCTCATGACCACGCAACACGGACCGTTGGATTTTGATTCAACGACTACAATTATTATAACTTTAGAGAGACCTCCCTGTTTGTAGCCATTAGATCCAAATCCAACAGCTCGTGTTGTGTGGTCATGAGGATCCCACCATTTGCTCAGGAAGGGATCCAATTCCCTATGTAGGGCTTAGTGGGCCTATATTGATTAGTGAGTTATCCCAGATAATATATTCATCGGTTGACTTTTAGGGTTAACCGTTAACTTTTGTAAAATTTGATAGGGACCCTCCTTAGCATATTTCAACACGCTGATTCTGAATCCACCATCCGTTTTCTGAAAGTTGACCGTTTTAGGATAGTTCCTTTATTAGCCTTACGAAAACTTTTAATTTTATTAGCACGTTATATTTACCTAAATGGTTTCATTTCTAGGCAAAATGGATCGCAAAGACTCTCGATGCTACAAGACGGGTTCGACTCGACGACATGATATGTGAGTGGGTCTTTTCTATATATATATTGGTTAGTTTCCATAAATACAAGCATTAATAAATTCTTTATGCATTTGCCATGATTAAATTAATGTTTATAAGAAATACCTTATTGTTGGGAAATGATGAAATAATTCTACGGGATGCACATGTAAGCTTACTATAAGGAGATGCCTTGATTATATTTATGGTCATGAATAGTACAATATTGATTAGAATTATTGAATGGATGTGGCATAACTATATTGAATGACTGCATTGGTGTTAGTACTCACCCGAGCCAAGGCCAGTCTTTCACGTGTATGTGCACATCGCACTATACGCTCACTTTGGATCAATTGTAGGTGCTAATCCTATCAAACAAGTTGCCATAGGCAACTCCGACTCGTATGTGATGTGCATAGCACCAGTCTTCACGTGATTGTAGTACTACATCGTATATTATTATTACACCTAGTCATGTTCATGTCAGAATATCTCTGCTTGAACTCATGTGTCAGCATGTATCGATGAGCACCTAATATGATATGTTGCTTATGTGAGATTTTGTGATTATGGATGTCATGCCCTTATTTATGAGATATTGTGCAGTAATGAATTCTTGAGATTTTGTAGGCTACAATAAGTATTTTCTTACTATACGTAGTATGTATATTTTGGAAACTATACTGGTTTTACGACGAGGGGACGTTTTCAAAAACATTTTTTATAAAACTTTATTTTTAGGCCAACTCACTCTTGTTTTTTGCCCCTCCAGGTTCTAGTAGCAAAGCTTTCATACCGACGAGGATTATTGGAAAATCTTGGTGTAGACAATTGCCTTTGATGGTATAATTCTCACCCTATTTTACTGTACTGTACTTATGCTCTGACATCACGTGTGAAATGAGTTCATTCCCGCTCACATGCGCACTCTTGTATTTAGGCACATTTAGGTTTAAATTTATTCACATTTTCCACATCACTACACTTTATGACTTCGTCACCTTCCAGGTGTCGGCCAATACAACTCGATTTAGAGTCCTAATGGACATTCCGGGTCAGGGTGTGTCAAGAACCATGCCTCCACATAGTTATAAGTGTCAATGAGTACAAAAAATACGCAAGGAATCAAATTCTTGGTGCCCAATGAATCCTATTTAAGAAATACAACATTTATTAAGCATAAATAAACCAATAAATAACATTTTGTTTTTTTTAGTACAATAATATTTTTAGTTATATATTGGAAGAAACTCCATATTGTAAGTAGTTATAATTTTTTTTTTTTTTGTCATCTTAAGAAAACACGCCTCCACATAATTATAATCTCAATGAGTACAAAATATGCAAGAAATAAACTACATAACGTCCAAGGAATCTTGTTCAGGAAATACAACATTCATTAAAGATAAATAAGTCAATAAATAATAATTTTAACGACACCTCTATTAAGTCGTAACCTTCCAAAAATTATAGAATAGTTTGGTACCAAGTGTACAACTTTAGAGAAGTTTTACTATTATTGATTTTTTTTCACCTTAATATTTAGTAGTCAATTCTTTGTTTCTATTTGTAATTAATTTAATTTGTATATAATATGATTATGATGGACCACTTAATTTGT